TTACCAGCTGGGTGGCTGCCCTGAGGGTAGCCTCCTACCGGATGCCCCACCTCATCTAGCCTCTACGCGAGGTTGTCAAGCCGGTCGAGGACCACTTGAAATTGGTCCATCGTGACCAAGTTCTCAGTGTTCCGGGTGTTTCTTTCCATATCAGTTGAAGCATAGGAGTTAATTCTTGAGTTTCTTAGAGTAAATTAAGGGAAGTCTTAGCAACGTTTCCACAGACGACGCCAACTGTTAGACAATGTATGCCCTTAGCTCCAATCAGATTGATGTACTTATTGTCATTTATTGTAAATGAATAAAGTGCATAATTGATTCATGTTATTATGGTGTGTTTCTGTGTAATACCCTTAAACTAGACACTTATGAGACTCGTGTTAGTTTAGAATCTTCACAGTCGTTTGATAGATTTGGGAAGATTTATTCTGCCAAGGCTGACATTGATGTGACACCAAGTTGGTTGGGATGGCTTGTCTCAGCTGCCAGGGTGGGACCTGTGGTACATGTAGTGTGGGTTTTCTTGAAACCCTAAACCAGACCAAATTCAAGTATTGCCCTGGACCTTGGAGATAGATGGGCAAAACTGAAATGTTACACCTGATCTCTAGACTCGATTATGGTACTGCACTAGGTGTTGGATTGGACTATCTTTGATATGCCAATCAGTGAGATCCTTTACCGGGTCAAAACCTGGGTATGTTGGGACAGTCCGAGAATTCACCTGAGTGGGTAATCATAATGATAGGATCAACCCCTTTGTCGGACAAAGTGAATGATCGGAGAATGCACTATCTCCGATGGAAACCTAAACTACTGATAGTGGATTTCAAATGTGTTTGAAATTTGGTTTTGCAAAATATATTTATATAGAGATATACTTATATATTATGGTTTCAAATTATTTGCAAAAATGTTTTAATTCCCAGGATCCATGTGAGTAGAAAGTGCAACATTGTACCTTGCAGCCGAGGGAGAGGTCCTCTCTTGTCGGGCAGTGTTTGATCATTATGGGCTAAGAGGTTAAGTGTAAGGCCATTGAGGATAATACCTGATGGGCTAATCTTACATCTGCCCACAGTCCTTGGGTTTTCACAAGATGGCTCGACCCAATGACCATTTAGTGTAAATGTTGGACCCATTAAGAGCCCATGGTGATGGACTCAAGGGTTTACTATGACCTACAGTGAATCCGGCCATGCCTTGTAACAAAGGCTATGCTGAACCCATGTGGCTGATGTGTAGATCGATGCTAGAGTCCCATGTCATACAAAGAGAACCAAACTAGCCAGTACTTAAAGGGTAAAGTAAGCAATATGACTTA